GGGTGGGCTCAGCCCGGCCCGGGGGGTGAGGGGTGGCGGGCGGGCGCGCTGCGCCCCAGCCGGGCCCGGCTGCTGCCTCCTCCCGGCTGCTGCCAAACGCAAGGTCGAGGTCCCTTTGGGGATGCAGAGCACGAGGGAGCGCAGAACAGAGCCCGCTTGTCCCTGGGCTCTTGCTAGAATGGGACTAATGGAGGCTCCTGTAAAACTGAGTCGTAAATCGAGAGGAAAGGAGGCACTTCTGGTAAGCTAATGTGTAAATTGAGTGACAAATGGCAATCTGCAAGTAACCGTGGTGTTACCAGCAGTGAGGTCAATGTCACCTGGAGAAGACTGTGGTATAATTAAGCACACTCATCAAAGTTAGAGAAGGAGATGGTTTGGGGGTAGAAAGCACTGGTGTGGAGCATGCTGCAGGGCTGGGCTCGGCTGCGTGTGAGAGAAGGTCTGCCTCTGCACTAAGAACTGATGAGAAAAGTGCTGAGGTTCAGTACCTACTATAAGTGATAGGACAAGAGGGAATGGCCTCAAGTTGCACCAGGGAACGTTTAGACTGGGTATTAGGAAGCATTTCTTTCCAGAAGGGGTTGTTAGGCGTTGGAATGGGCTGCCCAGGGAGGTGGTGGAGTCCCCATCCCTGGAGGTGTTTAAGAGTTGAGTCGACATAGTGCTGAGGGATCTGGTGTAGTTGGGAACTGTCAGTGTTAGTTTAAGGGTTGGACTGGATGATCTTCAAGGTCTTTCCAACCTAGATCATTCTGTGAGCTTCCGCAGCTGTGGGTTCATCTTCTGTGTTACAAAAAGAAACCTGAGTAATAAAGGAAAAGATGCATGACCAGTCTGTGTCCTGAGAAGTTAGTTTCATTAGTCTAAATTCCAGGACCTTCTGCAAAGCAGGTGGAAGCTGCCAGAGAAAGGATCAATAGAAGTTGGATTAATAGTGCAGGATTTTGTAGCTAATCCCATAGTATCACATTTGTGCTGATCCCGTCTGGAGCGAGCTCTGTGTATCTGTATTTATCTGCCCGTTCAACTTGTTCCCTGGCACACTGCTCCCCATTATCTGCTCGGGCATTACAATTGCATTAGTGAAAAATCAGTGTTCTCCTGAAACTCAGAGGACAAGGCCAGACCTTGTGAAGGCAGTAATCTGGATCTGGAAGATTTTTTAAAGTCCTGCTTTGTCATGGATAGTTAAGGCACACATTGTTTTGTATCTCAGGTGTTTGCAGCTGTGAATTTACTGAGGGGTAAGATGAAAGGGAAGGGGAGGAAGGTGACTATATTAGTGTCTGCTGGTGCAATGTTTGCTGCTCTGCTGTGTGACACAGTGCATTTTTCTACAAATATTTTTGTTCCTGCTCTTGTTTTTATTCCCCCCACACCTGTTGAAGTGCAGCTAACAGTATGGTAACCTTGCTGGGTTTAGTGCAGGTAATTGCATCATGGGCTAAGAGGGCATGTGATTCTACATTTATCACACAAATCCCTTTGATGAATATATTGTAGAAGAAATTATAGTACAAACCCAATTTTATCATTGTCCTGTATTTTACAAAATGATTATATAGTGTTTATTTTGGATTTTATATGGTCACATAGGGGAAAAATAAATCACCAGTTTATGTAAAAATCCAGTCTCATGTTCACCCCAAAGCTTCTAGCAATCAGTGTTTATTTTGGCTTAAGTTAAGCCTGTCCCCAGTGGCTTTAGGATAAACTGAAAAGTTAAGTCTGTGGGAATGACAACACAGGATCTGTAACACATTTTTAAGCGTACCTGTTACATATCTTGGGACACTTTTCCACTAGCTAAATGCAGTGCAACTACCAGAGAAATTGGAGATATGAGCAATGCAGTTCCATGAGTGAGAACTGGTTGGTTTTTTTTGTCTCCATTCATTTTATTTTTTGATCTGTTAAATTAACGTATTTTTACCTATCTGTAATTTTCCAATTGTTCTGAGCAGGATGAGGAAGAGACTCTTGTAATTCCAGGAGGCTGTTTTTAGCAAGGGTATTGAAGTAACCCCGTGAGTGGTTTCCTTTACAACTTTATAGGTCACCACCCTTCCTCTTGGAAATCGAAAACATAACTTTTCCTTAACCGGTTGAACAATGCTTGCAGTGCACTGATATCCTACGGCTTGCTGCAATGATTAAATTATAGCATAACTGGCTTGAAGTAAAAAGATTTAACCTGTACATGCATAACGGTGTGCATATACATATAGGATATATACATGGTGTGTATTTTTCTTTTCCTCTGGCATTAGTAGTAAGAAGCTTTGGGAAATAGGTTTGAAAGGATCGGCATATTTTTTGCTGGAGTTTCATGAAATATAAATGAGATTTCATTTTATATCCAGTGGTGACTCGGTCTAGTTACACTGTATCTCTGTAGGATAAGGGGGATTTCCCCTGTGACAGTGAGACCCCATCAAAGGACACCGTTGTTTGCCACTCTTGGCTTGTATGTCAAGGGTCTCTGTTTATTAATATATTTATATATATATATATATATATATTAATATGTATTTTTACAAGAATTAAAGCATGTCATGTCAATTAAATATTGACATTCACTTCAACTTTCTGGCAAAATTACTGTAAATTCTATGTCAAAAGAATATGGGTTTTTTTGACCTTCTGCAAAATACTGAAGGGTGACCACCATTGCCACTGGAGCACCTTGGATGGAATTGGTTTATTTATCTTTGCAGCAAATCATAAAAACCAGTAACAAAACAGCAAAGTAGTAGGTTGCTAGTATTACAAATAAATGACTTAAAAGTTAGTTTCTCACAAGCTGGGAGGGAGAAAAGACACAGCTGAATCTGCAAAATACATGACTTGCATCTGTAATTTTAAAACCTTATTTATCATGCACCTGAGGTAGAAGTTTCAGGAAGGAGAGATTTAAAAAATGTGTAAGGCTCACAGATTTTGCACTGAGTGTCCTTCTATCTAAGGGAAGGTACATGTATTTCTAGATTCTGGGGTATTTACAATATCCTTTCTCATCTTGTATCTGACAGAAACATAAATGTTTAGGGGCTAGTTCTCTTGCTGGTATAGAGAAACACAGCAATGTCCTTTACTACTACCAAGAATTCTTGGTGGTAATTTAACAAAGAGGAAATTTTCTTGATTGATTTTTGTTGTTATTGAAGGGGGCAGTTGGGATATACCACTGTCATAAGGGGGACCATCCAATACATTCGCTAGTGGCCTACCAGGAGTTGCTTTTGAATTGGTTTAGGAGAGTAGGAGAGAAAAAAAAATTACATTCAGCAGTTAAGCAAGCTTTGTAAAAAGCTTTTTCTGGTAATCAGAAGAATGACACTTAACATACAAATGCTTCATTGTGTAGCAAAAATGCAGTAAAGGCAATTTTAAAAGGAATGCTCTTATTTGTTACTCAGTGTCAGAGTAGTGCATACATCTGACATTGCAGTTGCTGTGTCCAAACATTGGAATTTTTCTTCTACCCCATATTCATGCTAAAACAAGTTTCGAATGCATTTAGTTAGACTTTTCAATGAGCATCTTTTAGTAGGAGAACTGGGCCTAAGTTATATTTTTGTGGCTCAGGTCTAGCTATTATATTGTTTTATCATTGTTATACCTGATTGGTTTAGCAATACAGTTACGTGCTTCTGACAACTAAAATCCTGTCTTAATAAAAAGTTTATGACTGAGCAAACATGTGAGATTTATGTAGGTTTTGATATGACTGTTGATAAAATGTAACTTTGCTTAAATCTTTTTAGGTCACGTTTGCTTGGAAATGTGCAATCAAATCTCTTCCCCTGCCCATGTATCCATACTAACAGATATAACATCTCCCAGACAGGTGTCAGGTCTGAAAGCTGGTCTGTATTTCAGCTCACCTTGCTCTGGACTTTGACTTTCTGGGAGATTTTTTTGTCCTCTCTGGGCTCAGAAGGATCATGGAAGCCTATATCTAGCTCCAGTTGTTGAAGATGAAATTTCATAGATGAATGCTGTTAGATTACACGAGGAGACTTCCAGGATACTTAGTGTTCTTCTTAAAATTATTTGGTGTCATGCAGCCAGGCATCTAGACAGTGATTGTTGTACTTCCAATGTCCTTTAAGAGCTAAAGATCCCTAGTCACTAGCCCTGGTAGCACCACCTGAGTTGTATGTTTCCTCAGATAGGTTTCAATGACTAGTTTTTAACATCTTATTAAAAAATTAGAGCAAAAATTAGTTTCTCTGTAGGAATAATTCAGGAAAAGCTTAATAATTTTAAATATTTCTAGAAATGCCATTGTAATATGGCAGCCTTCAAAATATGCTATGTAAACTTGAGACTGGGCAAAATAGTATGGGCAGAATACTGTGTTCCTGAAAGTGCCAGAAGTACCTGAAATGGTGAGATGCAGAGGATCCTAAGAAGAAGCAAGTAGTAGGGAAGCCAAATTGTTCCACCTGAAGCTGCTCTTCAGTGGTAGATGTTCTGCTCTCTGCCCACGTTGCGTGCCAGGCCACTTGAGAAGAACGTGGTCTGTGAAAACTAAAGGACAGAAAGGCTGGAGTATAGAGCATGCTCTGATGTACTTTTGGCCGTGTCTGGTCTCTGGCACTGCTGCAGAACCAGCAGGATTTTGCCTGTTGTCAG